TACTATTTTACTATCCAGTGCCGATTGCTGTCATTATAGGAAATTTGAGAACTTAGTAGAGTAAGAGGAATGATGCTTTGGGTGAAAATGTAGGTAATATCTAAATATAATCAAATAAATCAACTGAAATTACATTTTGTAATTCAGTGCTTTTTTTTCCAGTTTGGAGTAGTGTAGGGACTACTAGCCTGTGTAGGTAAGAAATGTTATCTGGGTTCCTTTTGATGGCAAGGTGAAGACTCTGTAACAGGTAATCTGTTTGAGTGCACTTTCATATTTATGGATGTGTTGCAGACATTTATTTTAAAAACTGACTGCAGGCTGGTTTTACCTTCAAAGTGAAGAAATTGACTTGCATCTACCATCCACATCCTGACTCCTCCAACCCAGGCTATTTAAGCAGCTAGGAAGAGAACCTGAAACTCCATTTAATTATCCATATGGAAATATTATATTGGAGTGGGATCTTCTGTGTATACCGAATATTTCCACTTAGCGGCAGTGATTTGAAGTTTTGTTGGAACTGGTTCTTGTGCTCTAATATGAATTGGTATGGTCAGTTGTAACCAGTGATAGATTTGTTTTGCGATCAATTTACAGGTAAATGCACACCGAGTGTTTTCGAATAGTGTCTATTCTGATTTTTTTCAGAATCTTCTATCTGTACAGACAGCTTCAAATTTGAATATCGACACAATATGGGTGTTATTGGATGAAGTGAATGGTTATCGGTGAACTTATTCATTTAATTGCATTAATTAATGTCTAAACTTTGTTTGGCAGGCTTTGCTGGAAAGAACTGGTTACACGCTTGATGTGACTACAGGTCAGAGAAAATATGGTGGCCCCCCTCCAGAGACGGTGTACTCGGGGCCACAACCCACTATCGGTACAGAGGTAAGGTGTCATGTCTTAAGCAACGGTTTATTTGTGTCTCCATCCTTTATGTATATTGTACGTTATATGCATATGTAATGCAGATATTACACTTTGTGATTGCCTTTAAAAACCTATGATATGTTCTATTCAGGTTATTTTCATTGAGATGAGCATCCAAAGTCAAAAAGTCTGGCTGTAAAGCGATTTTATTCTCTCTTTGCAGATTTTTGTTGGCAAAATTCCAAGAGATTTGTTTGAAGATGAGCTTGTGCCGTTGTTTGAAAAAGCTGGGTCTATTTGGGACCTTCGTCTCATGATGGACCCCCTTAGTGGCCTCAATAGGGGATATGCCTTTGTCACTTTCTGCACTAAAGAAGCTGCCCAGGAGGCAGTAAAATTGGTATGTATCAGCACTATCACTGCGCTTTTAAAGCATGGCAAGTGAAAGAGCAGGGATTTTTATCTCTTCTGTGTGTGTGATCTCTTCACAGTGTAATAACACTGAAATTCGACCTGGGAAACACATTGGTGTGTGCATCTCCGTAGCCAATAACAGACTGTTTGTGGGTTCTATTCCCAAGAGCAAAAC